TATGTGTCTGAAATAGGGGGTGTCTTTTTCTTCAATATGTCTGCTCTATGAGGTACTAAATTTATAGTGCGTCCGCAATAGGGGGGTGGTTTGCCAATGTGCTGCCAGACCTAGGGGCCTATTATTTTTTTAGCAAGAACGCACATGGTGTAAGGTTTGAATATAGAGTGACCCCTCCCCCGGGACAGGTATACTACACTGGAGTATCATTTGTTGTAGTCTGTACTGGTATAATGCATACTGATGCAGTCTATAGCATGTAGCACATGACTGTAGTATGTATTGTCTGTACTGATGTAACCTTGTTTATTCATGTGTAATGTGTGATTTTGTAATGCGTCTGTGAAAATACATATATGTGTATTATATAGATGTGTCAGGGATGTATTCTGTACCAGTGCAGTGCATACAGTTTTAGGCTGTACTCTGGTAACATTTCTGCAGTTGTCGTCTGCCTTTGATGAAGTGGAAAGTGTTTTAAAGGGACAACATGTGGTGAAAAACTCAAATATGTATTCAAACCCGTGAACAACCAGGAAGTCAGTGGTTATGTAACAGCTTTAACATAACAATGATAGCACTATTGTTCCCTGGGTATGTACATGAATATATTTATAGAGACGGGTAAACAACAGTAATACTTTTTTGAACGAAATACGAATATTGTAATGCCGGAATGGTGCGACTTGATGCGACACCATCTCAAACTTATTTGGCAGGTGAATATACGTTCTGAAATTCTTTTACGTCCTTTTTTCATTGAAAGCTTTAATTATTATCAATTATTGTGACAAATCTAAAGAATCACTTGAAGCCCAGACACTTGTTTCAAAGCGCTACATCGGGCGACTATACTGACTATTGGATAATTTCAGTAAAATTCATTCAATTGTGGCTTCTTGAATGACATAGCGCTGATATTACAATTACATAACTTATTCTGATCATATAACCATCGAAAATCTGATATTAACTTGCAACTAATTCTTTCAACAAGTCAAGGAACTGCAAAAAATGTATCAATGTCATCAAAATACTGAGACGATTGGAAACTAAAAGTTAATATTGATAAATCTAAAGTTATTGTTTTCAATGGAAAGGGTAAAAATCTTAAGCATGTGTAACGCCCGGGAATATTACATAAACACAAGGTGGTGGAGTTCAATGCAAATTTCTGTTCTTTCAAGTTATTTCTGGATTCCACACAGTAAAATCATAACGTAAATACAACTACACTGTAACCTCAGTATAATGAACACCGTTATAATGAACTTCCTGATATAATGAACACATAGCGTGTCTCCCGCTCACAACAAACCCAATGTATTATGTACTTCATTATAGTGAACATTTATTTCACTATAACAAACTAATTGTATGTTCCCCAAAGGGTTTGTTATAGCGAGGCTACAGTGTAATAGGAAGTAAAACCCTGACTGGACAACCGCCACTGATACACAGCTTCAATATTATAGTCCCGGGATTATAGTATTAATTTGGTCTCAGCTAACTGTCAGTGAAATTTGCGTCAATAAGAATGATGAATGGCTAGGATTAATATAGATTAAAAGAGAAAACTTCAGCGAACCTAGCAGAACGTAAACCCAATATGGGCGGGTACTGGAGCATGACCATTGACCGGTCAAGAGAAAGGGAATTAAAGAAATTGCTCCCCAATAAAAAATGTTATTAAATCTAAGCATTACATTATCAGAGATGTTAAAACTACTACAATGGGGCACTTTACAATGTCAAAAAAATCATTTCACTGAAAAATCTTAGAATTACCAACAATCGTCACAAGAGGGCGCCGTGTTTCGTGTCTCACACAAACATCTCAATTTTAAATGAAATGAGAAATAGTTTTATCTTCTCACTAAGGTGACGTCTTGTTCGATGGAATTTCTAACGACGGAGAACGGGAGGTTAGTTTATTACACATAAATTTTATTCTGAAACGATAACCAAATATATTTGTAAATACAAATGTAATTCGTTGTTATTTACTACTAGTAAAAGTATTTGGATGAACATTTAGTGTGGAATGGTACAGGGGTGTCAAAGGTCTGTTAAACACGTCCCGTGCGCAATGATAAACCTTTACAGGAAATGTTTATTTAAAAGTTCCAATGTTTAAATATTCAACCACTGCACGGAATAATAACACTGGTACATAGCCCTCTCACATTAGTCCACAGAATGAATGGGGACAGGGCTGTAGCCATATTTGTTTCATTGTGGTGGGGCTAGTACGGTAGTGAGCTCCTTATTTGTCTAATAATAATCCTTTCATATAAATCGCGCCCTCTAGTGGAAAAGCGTTTCTTGGCGTAAAAGATGACACGAAGGCCCGTCAAAGTGCAGACATCGTTTTGATCTGCAGTTGTTCCATCAATAAAGGTATTTTTGATGAAGAACGACCAAACAGTGTCGACAGTCTAGTTTTTGGGGTTAACATGTTTTCATGTCAGATAAAAATATAATAAAATTAAAACGCCAAAGGTCCGAGAATTATCGGCATTCAAGAAAGATAATTCATCGGACTTAGAAACAAATCAACTCGAGATTTGTCGACAGTGCATACCAAACATAGTGGTCGATTTGAACGACATTGCCTTCACCTGGATACGTCATTTTTGGTGTCATAAAAGCGCTCCATCATTAGAGAGCACGATTCTTAAAGCGGGGGAGTCGTCACTTGCGCGTGCGTCAGATGGCCATAGCGTGTCATTGTTTACAAACAAGCGTCTACCCATGAGTCTTTGCGTTTAGCGTGTGTTGTTATCGTCACTTGGGACTCAATTCCCGCGCGTGCGCAGGTGACGACCCTCCCGCTTTAAGAATGATGCACTCGCCATGATGTATTTCTTTTGTTACAATGTATTTATTTTTCTGTTTATTATCAACCGTGATACTGCCTGGTAACAATTCCCATACGATTCCCGAAAGTCGAATTCCCCAAACCACGATAACAGTTGATACGATACAAGATATTAGTTTACTAACAAAATGTATTTATTATTTCACTGTATATTATCAAGTTGAATGTACAAAAACTGATTGGTACCATTCATCCACAAATCTAGAGGCATGACATCATTTCCGTCAACATCGCTAGTAACCAGGATTCTGCTCAAACATAGCGGCGTAAGTAGGTAATTCTCTAGCAGTGTTGGCAACTTCAGTTTTCTTACGTATTCTGTGGACAACCTGTCATGCTTCATCATTGCCTTACGTATCACTTGTCGACATTGGTGATGAAGTGATGGAGGGCTGGATGACAGTATTTGCAAGTGTTCCGTAAGTTCTTCTGCTGTTTGCTTGTGTAAGAGTTGGGGTAAAAGTCCGCTATAGTCTGTGATACGCACGATACTTGTATTGTCTAAAATATGGCAAAATCCGTTCGTTGACGCCACCAACGCCGGCAAATCAAGAAAAATGCGTCTGTGTGCACGAGGATTCACCACAATGCGACAACTCATGTCCCTCCAAAGCGTATGGTTATTTAAATACTCAAACAGAGCCGTTCGGCCAAGATTGTTTCTAACATTTGGGTCAGCGCCGTTCCTCAGTAGTTCCACCACCACGTCTTCCGATGAATTGGATCTTGCAACGGTATGCAGACACGTGTCTCCGTTAATATCCTGTTTATGAATATCCAAGTTATTTCGTATCAGTAATGTTGCACACTGGGTCCGATGTACCCTGGGATACCTGCCGATTGCATGTAATGCAGTTCTTTCCTGGTAGTCGGAATGGTGTACGTTAACCCCATGTTCAACCAACTCTTCAAGAACGTCGATACTTCCGAATTCGGCGGCTTTCATGAAAGGCGTGGCCCCGTGTTTATCAGTTTTCTCCATATCGCCTCCGTATTGTCTTAGCAAGCTGATACAGCCTCTGTAGTTGTACATTGCACCTAAATGCAACGCTGTATTTCCGGCGATGTCCTGAGCGTTAGGATCTGCTCCATGGGAACACAGCATGTCAATGTACGTCTCCAATAACTCGTCCGCATCCTGCTCTTTACGGATAAACATCTTCTGATAATGAAGTTTTCGTATTAGATAATGCAAGGCAGTTCTTCCCATTCGGTCTCCAAAATTAGGGTCCAGTCCACTCTCTAATAGCATCTTCAAAATATCCACATTCAAATTGTTGCCAAGGTGATAAAACATCAAATGATGTGGAAGATAAATAGGATCACTTTCATCTGGACCATATGGCAGGATGGTGTCCCAGGAGATGTTCCGCGCCACGAACTTTCTGCATTTCTCCACATTTTGTTCTCGTATTATTTTATGCAGTGTCCGTATCTGTGCACGTGCTTTCACTGGTGATACTTTGGAATTACCCAGCCCCATTAGAATTAGTGTAACAGTTAGCATCACAATGTGCTAATCATTTCAACGACAGAGTTGTGTTTATTATTCAAAACAGCCGTGACAACAGACCATTGTTAATTTCTTTGATTAAGCACAAGAGGGCGTTCACAATTCTTGCGTTCTCACGTATTTGTTCGCGCACGCGTTAGCGCGCCCGTATGCGTCGCACACTAGAACTTAAGAATACTCTTGGGGCGGTCATCCCGTTGTGTCGTCACCGGAAGCGCTGTCCCAGCACAAACGCTCGGTGTAGAAGACGCCGAACTGCAGCGTCAATGCGGTCATCCGGGTATATTTGACCTTTCTGGCAACCATCACAGTGAAAACAAAGGCCGAAAACCCTCAGAAAACGGTACTTTGGGATGGTTGTTGAGACTCCCCTTAACAGTGTAACAAGATTACCTCTGCGTGTGTAACATACATAAATGTGGTTGCTCGGAATTACTTCAAAGTTGAGTTTGTGTCGTTTTTTCGAATTTAGCTAATTTCACCGGCTCTTCGCTCGACGTTCCACAGCAGCTCGCGCAGAGTCCATAGAAAAGCATGGTACAGTGGTGCGCGTCTTAGCAACGTGGAATGTCTTGTGACGTAGCTCCGCCCCGAGGATTAGAATATTTTCAGTTTCGTTAATTTCGCAGACGGAAAACGATTTTTTTCAATGTAGTTCAATAGAAGCACGTTTACTTGGATATGGTATAATGAATACAAGGCGAGTACTCTACAGCCTGGTTGCTGTCACACTGATACCGATGGTTCACGGCATAGGTAAGCCCACCCCATCCTCCACTATAACTTGCACGAGCAGGTTTCAACTGTTATGTAAATGTATTCAGATTGTGTTGACCTTACGGATACGTAATTTGCATATAATACGGAGAGTGAAACCTTGCCGTTGACCGGACACCATACCCTCCAAAGTAAATAGTACACGCCAAACTCGTGCACGACGTGCTCTGCCACAGAGTCTCGAATTTATTTGCATTTTACGAACATGGCTAATATTGAAATTTTAAGTGCAACAATCATTCGCAATGATCTTGCACCCGTTCACAATATGCTGTACTGTTTCATAAATAGCTATTCATGAATATTACTTTGCCAGTTAAATGAAGGCCTAAATGACACCTGGAAATGACACTTAGGATATCACGCGTTCCCATGGCAACTGCCGATACTACTGTTCAGATTGAACATGCTTCACAAGTGAATATTATTCTAAGTTTAAAACCCATTGGAAATAAGTGCCGTATTGTAGCCTCTGAGATTTTAACCCCTCTTTTTCCGGAATTACTGGTGCTCTAAATATTTCTCAATACGACGATGTGGCAAATATTAAAGGACGGTGGTCGTCGCGCAGCGCGTGTTCGAATATCAGGTAAACAAACAAATGTATTTACACGCGTTGTTTGCGTCGCTATGAGTCCCGCATCGAACAGGACACGGTGCGACGACCACCGACCTTTAAAGTATTGACCTACCTTATTCAAATAGTAAAACAAATGTTGGTTCAATCGGGACAAATCTCAAATTATCACTAAACGTAGAACGTTAAAAGCTCTTATTTATTTAATTGTTGACGTGACATTTTTTTATTGAACAAAAATGTTTCCTTCTATTCACTGTTAATTGGACTCTGATCGTGCACCTGGTTTTCTCTTTGTTAGATATGTTACCGGCAAGTAACCATTATAATGCAGATGTGGGACGAACAAGTCCTTATGTTTCACAGCAGCGCCCTCAGTACAATAACAATGGTGGCGACTACAGTAATCGTCTTTCAGGCCTCGGAAACAGTGTTCTGACTAATGGTCAATTGGCGAGTGTTAACCATTTACCATTTGATAACCAAGACATGGCCACTGAGCGCTCACCAGCTGATACCAATGGTCAAGGCACGGGTGGTGACTTCTCACAATTTGATACTGATAAAATTTATCAAATGCTGGACAGAAATCTGGAATTTGAGTTAAATGAAGAGAGGGCGCTTCGTACAAGTTTACACAACCGCGTCATCAAGCGTCAATCAAACAAACCTCACGCTGGAGTTCTAAAAATCCACGACTCTGACTTGACTGGTCAGCAAGACGAAGTGACAAATCATAATGGAGATAACGACGTGGTAACCACGTGGTCTGAATGGACGAGGTGTAACGTCACATGTGGTGCGGGGTATATGTGGAGAACACGCAGCTGTTCACAGCCTTCTCGTTGCCCCAACTCAGCATCAGAAAGCAGGTTATGTCACGTGGTAAATTGCTACGCAGAGTCTTCAGTTGGTACGGATATACACACATTTCATACAACCTCAGACAACTAAACTATCGCAAAATAATTACTTCCCCACGTTCACATGTAGCAGTTATGCCGGCCACAGTCCACCCCAACACCCGGTTAAGATACACTATTGTCTAAAGGTGTTGAGGGATTTTGTGCCGGCGTAGTACCGCCGTAAATTTAACGCCGGTTTTAATTTTTTAGTGAGAACAGTCGGATTTTACATTTATTAACTTTTATTTTGCATGCATGCATGCACTTGATATTTGTCAGCATCGTAGCCATGAAAACACTGATTTTTTTTCTCCTCTAGATTACATTGTAGTTGTGGTCGTTCTCAGTGTTTTCGTCGCAGCAGGCATGATTGCAATGAGTCTATTTCTCCTCACCAGAACCAAGAAGGGGTCAGTTTTACATAGTTTAATCTCAGACAACTAATACATAATATTAAATTTATTAGTAGTCTGAGGTTTAATCTGTAGAGAACCAAAGTTGTGCGGGTGCCGCTTTACACCTTTCCTATAAATCGCGCCCTCCAGTGACGAATCGCTTTCGTGACGTAATTAGATAATACAAAGGTCGGTATCGTTTTGATCTGTAGTCATCAATCAATGAAAATTATGTTTTTCGAGAGATTTCGGGATGACAAACGACTCACTACCAAACATGATAGTTGAATGGAAGATTTGAACAAGACCGCTTTCATGATCGTATACGTCATTTTGACGTCACAGACGCCAAATGGTGCGATTTATAAGAATGGTCAGTAATGAATCATAATTTAGTATAGGTAGATTGTTGCGTTTTGACGTCATTTTATTTAAAATAAATATATCGAATCATATTTTAACGTGTTACAAATAGTCTTTTTAAAAATGCGCTTTATATTCATTATTTTATTGATTTTTTTAGTGATTATATAGACTTAACCAGTGACGTAACAGTCAAACGTAACCCAAGAGATCCCTGTCCTCCCAGACCAGTCCCTACAAAGTAAGTAGACATAATTACAGTCACGTGAATTTCCTGTGAGTGAACGGTTTTTGTCACGTGACTCACGACAACACATACATGTTTTAATCAGTTTAGTTTCAATTCTCCGTTCCCACTATGATATATAGGAGCAAGGATAAAGTAAGCGAAGAAGGCATTTATCAGACTATCGGTAGTGCTCAGGGCAGCAAAGACGATGTGTATCAGACGATCAGCAGTTGCCGTGACGTCGAAGAAGGCATATATATTGACCCAATGCAAGTTCAGGGACCAACACTAAGAAGAGAGTAAGTAAAGCGCGCCCTCATATGATATATATATATATATATCCCATCGACTA